GAAGTTATTATTCATATTTACATAAAGTTTTATGCTTGTCGCTGTTCTAAAATTAGGTACGAAAGTTCGGGACAACAAAAATAACACAGATATACATAACAAGTCAAACTAATTTATCATTAAGTGTTTTATAGAACAGTTCAAAGTTGACAGTTCTGTTTCTGTACTTCATTACAATGCAGTGTTAGGAATCCTTGAACTAGGTAACGTTAAAACAACAAAGTTGAAAAAGACTCTCTTAAGGCATTGATCTTGGCTGTGGCCTTTCGAGAACTAAGTCGTTATGAAAACACCCAGAATAATACATGTTTTACACGAGTAGTATTTAATTATAACAGCCTTGATATGTTGCCTCTAATGATTTAGGAGAGTATTAACGATTTCACGACTCGTTATAATTAGTCCCCACTTCAGCACTTCAGTGATTTTTCTGGTTTAGATCATCACTTGCATTTACCTAAATACGAATGTGTATTATGTTCTGCTATTTACAACACGTAGTTAATTTGTCTTACTTTACACGAACCAGTAAACAAAACTAATTAAAATTTATTAAAATATATTTAATTCAGGAAGTAGAAACCTAAATCAATATGAAAATTTAATCAGTAAGATGTTTTTCTGAAAACAATTAATTTATTTTTTCGATATCCATTACATAATAATACTGGTTCACTGAACGTTTTAAAGTGCGCTCGCTACACAGCTTTGTTAAAGTGTACTAGATAGAGAGGTAGGTGTTGTTAAAGTGTACTATATACACAGGTATTGTTAAAGTGTACTAGATACGCAGGTGTTGTTAAAGTGTACTAGATAGACAGGTCTTATTAAGGTGTACTAGATAGACAAGTCTTATTAAGGTGTACTAGATACACAGGTGTTGTTAAAGTGTACTAGATACACAGGTGTTGTTAAAGTGTACTAGATAGACAGGTGTTGTTAAAGTGTACTAGATAGACAGGTGTTGTTAAAGTGTACTGGATACACATGTGTTGTTAAAGTGTACCAGATACACAGGTGTTGGTAAAGTGTACTAGATACACAGGTGTTGTTAAAGTGTACTAGATACGCATGTGTTGTTAAAGTGTACCAGATAGACAGGTCATTTTAAAGTGTACTAGATAAACGGGTCATTTTAAAGTGTACTAGATACACAGGTGTTGTTAAAGTGTACTAGATTGACAGGTGATGTTAAAGTGTACTAGATAGACAGGTGTTGTTAAAGTGTACTGGATACACATGTGTTGTTAAAGTGTACCAGATAGACAGGTGTTGGTAAAGTGTACTAGATACACAGGTGTTGTTAAAGTGTACTAGATAGACAAGTCTTATTAAGGTGTACTAGATACACAGGTGTTGTTAAAGTGTACCAGATACACAGGTGTTGGTAAAGTGTACTAGATACACAGGTGTTGTTAAAGTGTACTAGATACACAGGTGTTGTTAAAGTGTACTAGATACACAGGTGTTGTTAAAGTGTACTAGATACACGGATCATTTTAAAGTGTACCAGATACACGGGTGTTGTTAAAGTGTACTAGATACACAGGTGTTGTTAAAGTGTACTAGATAGACAGGTGTTGTTAAAGTGCACTAGATACACTGGTGTTGTTAAAGTTTACTAGATACGCAGGTGTTGTTAAAGTGTACCAGATAGACGGGTTTTGTTAAATTGGACTGGAACATTATCAATAGCACTTTTTCTCTTGTTCTTTCCAATGCACGTCGCTCAAGATGCTTCAGCACGATATAACCAGCGAGATGAAACCAGACATTCTTACACGATTTATGCTGTATGTATGTTTTTCAAGTATTTTACAGGTTCACTAACTGAAAAGAGGAACACCACGGAAATATTAGTTGCAAACATATTTAATATTTGGGTGTTTCGAAACTTCTATCTTCAGAATAAAGAAAAATGTGTAATTATGTAGCTAAACATTTGCAATCGTAACTAAAACGGCTCAGTTTTAATGAGATAGTGGCCCTGTTAGGAGTATAATGTTCAGTTTCCAAGTGTACCATTGAAAGATGACAGAAAACTATTAACGTTGTCACCGTCCCTCACAGGTGCTGCCGCTCCAATGAACGGTATTTCTATTACTTGCCTATTACTGTCATATGCACTTTAGGTGTTGCATCTGTTTTACACATACACACATGCACATTTTTTAAAAATGTGTTTATGGTTCTATTACTTTCTTTCAATATGTGTTGTTTTTTTACAAAAACTTGAGGCACGTTGATCCTCCACTGTTCTTGATTGTATTTACGCAAAATCAGCTTGTTTCTCGTTCACTTACTGTCATCTGTATATACCATGTTAATGTTATCAGTGCAAAGCAGTAAATATAGTTAACTGCATAGGCGATAAGGCACAGCAATTAAAGAATAGGTTACAAAATCGCCACACGTATATTTCTAGGTTTGATCTTTACGATCTGACGGAGAATACCGGCTCGAAATGTGATCTTTGAAAAATAAAAATATGTAAAACTTAGCGATTTCATAAGCTATATCTTAATTTTAATGTTATCAGTACATAACATTGAAACACGTCTCTCTTTTCAACTGTTCTTAATTTCATTTCTACACAACGAGTATATTTTTTCCATTGTTTTAGTATTATCGATACACAACACTGAAAGGTCTAACTCTTCTTAATTCTATTGATATACAACATATTTTTCCCACAGTTCTTACTGTTATCAGTACACAGCATTGAAAGACATTTCTCTTTCCAACCGTTCTTAATCTTATTTATATATAACTAATTTTTCCCCTGTTTTTCAGTACAAAACATTAAAACACATTTTTCTCTGTTCTTAATTTTAGTTGTACATAACATATGTTTTCCATCTGTTTTATTTTTATCAACATTCACCATTGAGGGCTGATATTTTTCATTGTTGTAACTGCTGCCTATCATGTTAGATCTATTTTTTCTTTGTATGTAAACTGTCGTTATTTACTTTAATACAATGACATTAAGTCCCGTTATGTTGGTTATTAATAAGATTTGTTTTTAACCAAAGCTTTACTTTTAGAAAACATTAAAAGTTTTTATTTTAATTTTTTTCTATGAAAATATGTTTTACGACAGACATAGCATTTATATATGTTGATAAATGATTGGATATTTTAAGAATGGGGCGTTCAAAGTAATGATATTTTAGATTACAACTTAAAGCCAGTCAATATACAAAGAATTATAGGAGGTTTTTAATATTTTTAAGTTAAAGTAAAATACAGTACCGAAGATTCAATTCAAGGATACAACTTTTCCTATACGATACATTTAACAAACTTAAAATAATACCCAAAACTCGAGCGCTTTCGAATAGAGAAGAATAGTCAACTATTCGAAAGCGCTCGAGTTTTGGGTATTATTTTAAGTTTGTTAAATGTATCGTATAGGAAAAGTTGTATCCTTGAATTGAATCTTCGGTACTGTATTTTACTTTAACTTAAAAATATTAAAAACCTC